AGATTATATCCTACAATTCTGTATCTTCCTAAAGAGGTCCCTAACAGGTTCTACTTTCCATTACCTCAAAAAGCCTTCTCAGAATAACCTATTACTTTTGCATTCCATAACTTCTCCTTTGAAGTGTCTATTCTTCAATTACATTTTCATCCCTCTATCATGCAGTTTTGAAGATTACATATGTTCTTTATTGCCATGTCTAGGGTGTCTCACATTTTGTCATGTCTACTATTGCTCCTACTGAGCTTATATATTAAGTACTATTGCTCTACCTCTTTTTAAAATTTATACTATATCATCTCATTTATAACTGTGAAGGCTTTATTTCTAATTTTCTATAGAGTTAATTCTTCAATGGTATGATATTATACAATGTAACCAATTCCCCTTTAAGTGCAGTGAAAAAAAACATCAACAATATTGATCATGCTTGTAACAAGTATTAACTAAATGTGCCTAAAAAGAAACTTTGGCATTCTAATAGCAAATGCCAGCCTGAGTAGTAATAATATGAAAAGGAAGAGGAACATAAAGAAAAAGATGAAAGAGCAAAAGAAAAAAAAAAGAGAGAGTATATTGCTAGCCACAGCATCTACAAAAAAGTGAGGTAAATATTATTTCACGTGTATGAGATTAAAGCAGGGAAAAGTTTAAAAAGCACTAACAGACCTTTATATAAAGTTAACAGAACAGGACCAAATATATACAACACATAAAGAAGACAATTAAATAATATTCCCACTTGTCACCCTCCCTGGTGCTATATAATATATGACATCAATGACTTACTAAGCACTCATAACCCCTAATGAAGCTGTAACATAAACTAGAGAGTATAATACACCTGTCCATACTGTAAATTTTCAGGATAATATGGACACTACCGATAACTTATCTCAAGAACTTCAAGTCTTGGTTTATTACATATACATATGCAATTTCCTACATCTAGGTTTCAATCAAAGAACTGGGCATTTCTATGGTCTTCTTCGCCCATGAAGTGGCAACCTTTGGAATAACTTCTCAAATTACAGGTAAAGATAACAGAGAAATATTAAAGGTGATAAATCTGTAACAAAAACATGGAAATGAATCAGATCAAAGTAGTGATAGCACATGAACAACGGCAAAAATGTTCCGAAAAAAGGAACTGCTGTAATAGTTGTAATTTTTTTCTTTAAATCATCTAGTACAAACAACAAAGTAACAATGACAATAACAGAACAAAAAACTTCCGCAACAGTTCAGGTAAGGGACTTTACCCTTGTGACAAATATACTGATAATATTGAAGTGTGCAGTCACCAGTGTGACATGTCCACACTAATGTTGACATCAACTGGACTAAATGCTCAATAAATACATTATCAAAAAGCTCTGTTAAGAGTGAAGCAAATACCTAATAGCTGTATTATGCATTACCTTTTGTCACTAATATTCTCTCAGTATAAAATAAGGAACATCATATCATTTACAACTAACAAGGAGAGTGTGAAAGGTGATAAATGCTATCATACTCAAATCAGCCGTAATGAGAATACACATACTAACTGTCTATCATTAAGAGCTACTCTAATCTCATCCATAGGATTAAATGATGGTCTGTACTCCACCCACTATTTTCTACAAATTTCTCCAAGAATATATCACAAATACCTTCTGATTACTAACTTCATATAATGTGATATCTCTGAAGTACTTCACTATGTGATGAGTTCCTATAATGTTAACTAAGACTTGCAAGAATGTAAGTCCATTCTTACCAACTATTCTACCCAACAGACATGGCTTCTGCCATACAGTACTAGTGACAGCTAACTCTACATGTGACTCTTATGTGGATGGTCATTACACATTTTATTTTCTTCCAGCAGAAACATTCATGGATTTTACGTAGGGAACCAGCTCACTAAGAAGTATTAGTTTCCACTTACTTGGTGTAAACTAGCAAGAAGATTGGCTACACTATCTAAGGACCTTCATCTAGGTCTCCAAATTTTCTCTTTCTCATTAAATCCTCCATGCTGACAACAAGAAATCAACAGCACTCCTCAAGCTTTCGAATCCAACACTAAGGAATTTACCTTTAAAACCTATACTTCAATTTCCTTCCTAAATTACACCTAAGTAACGTGCAAACATTTATCGAGTACGATGCAGTTGTGGGATCTCATCCTTGCTATGAGTCATAAGCCTACTCTAATGTTTTGCTGAACAATGAACCGGTACATTTAAGGTCCAAGCAGAAGTGCAAGTCAAGCCTATGAACTATTATTTGCACTATTATAAAATTGCCACAGTATATGCTGTACATAAAACTGCCTATCTAGGTACTCATATAAACTTACTAACTAAACTCTAATTGTCAACAGACATGACAATGGAAGCTCCAACATGCCGTATGCCTTGAAAAGATTTGTACACTTATGATGAGCAACCAAACATATATACATATATTTTTTTTTACAAATCTGTATATTTTACTTACTCATAAATTGAACAAGTTTCTTCTGTTTAAATATAATTGATTTTTTTTTTTTCATTTCTATAGGTACTTGGTATGCAGACACAAGGGAGTGGTGCATTGGTTTTTTTTTTTTTCATTTCTATAGGTACTTGGTATGCAGACACAAGGGAGTGGTGCATTGGTATGCTTGTGAGGTATTGCATATCTCTGCATCTTAGTGCAATCAATATGACCTTAAAATTCAGCCACTGTAATAGAAAAATATATTGAGCTGAAAATGTTTTCCACTCTTTCTTCCAGCTCAGTTTTTTTCCTCAAAATCAGTCAGGATACTATTCATCACTATGTAGAATCTTACTCTAAAAGCAGAAAGGACATCTCTATTTACATAGGTAATGTATGTAAATAAAACCTGGAGGAGAAAAAATCTTAGCTGCAAAGCAAGAGAAAACTGTCCTAATTGCTCCACAATAAAATTCCATTGTTTTTTTTTTTCTTTGACGAATAAACGTGAAAGTGTAAGTGTACAAGTCTTTAAAATTAGAGGTGACAGCAGGTATTTCACATATATTATCACACTCAAGAGCCAACATTAGATATAAAACAGATAGACCTAAGAAAAAGAAGAAAAAAAAAAGAAAAAACAAGTACAGATACGAATTAAAACCACGACTACAAACAATATTAGTAAAAATTATATAAAAGAAATTCAAACCTCAAAGTCAATAAATCCTACTAACTATATTGCCCTTTAGCCACATAAAAGACCCACCATGAACGACCTAATTTGAATCATTCAAGTTGCCCAATGGACCTATAGCCACAAACCACATAGTTACATAACACCAAATAATGAACTTATCTCAAAGGAAACAAAGAGCGCTAGCACCTGAGAACCTGTGTTTATAAAGGCAAGAAATCAATCTGCTTTACACATAATGGGATTCCAGACTTCTGAATTCTCAAAGGCTTCATCAGGTATAATTCCACACAGACTATCCTTATACCAATATATATTGTTCCATTACCTCCCTTAATATATGATCTTCGGAAACTGATAAATCTGACAAAACTTCAAAACATTACCAGGCACAAGGAGAACAGAAAGAAAAAAAGAAATGAAGTGACCTGCTGGTAAACTCTAATTACTTCCATCTGTCCTGCATACAGTACATGCTGATCTTAAAACAGACTCTGCCTAAGGATTTTCTTACTGTCCTAGAAGACTTCGATCAGTCTTCCCGAACAGATGAAAACTTCAAGCTACACATTTACTGTCACCTCTGGTGTGTGCAAACTACGGCACATACACAAAAGTCTATGTCCATCTACATTACTGCTATCATGGCTGTGCAGGGGGCAGGTGTTAACAACTTCACAGGCTAGTACAGTTTTACCTTTAAATACACTAATGATATGTATCATTAGATACATGAACATATTAATCAGAGCTATTTATAAGTAAATCCTTTACTACTATATAAATAAATCTTCTGAAAATAAATACAAAACGACAAGACTAAACTTGCATCCATTATCCACTAGAAAGGAAAAACTGAAGCATTTTCAAAAATCTATTGCTACCATAGCTTACAGTACACAGGACCCTGAAGCATCGCATTAGATGTAAATAACCTAAATAAGTAACATCTCATTGACATGGTATAATAATGACCATGTCAAATTGTAATTCTTCCAACACTTAGCCATATTCACTGTCAAAACAAGTGATGATCAAGTTTTACTTTATCATTAGCTACTGTTACAGACAGGCACCCAGTGAGAAATACAATGAACAACCCTGTTATTTTCACTTCTTTTATATATATCTTCAATTTACAAAGTAAATTACTTCAGATTATGGCTTATAGATGTTCTATTTATATGAATATACTCTTATCTTCACAGAAAAATATTTTTATTCTGTCAGCAATTTATCATTTCTTTCCTTAAATTACCATAACTAATCACAAGGTATAAAAAGTTTGCCATTATACACAGTATTTCTGAAAATGTGAACAGGAGGCATCAACAATAAACATCGCAGAATGCAGTACATGACAAGTTACTATGCAATACTCTTCTGCAAAGATGGAATAGACATTGTTGGCAATGAATATGGCTAACTGCACCCACCACTTGTTACTGCAGGAGTGGGTTACTCTACGTGGGCTGATCCATCACTGGGCTTCATGCCAAGTAAACACCAGTGACTGCTGGCTAATCCAACAGAGTGCCCCAACTATTTGTGAACTTCATTGAGTATGGGTGATGTAATGAAGGAAATCAACCGTGAGCATGTGATATTTGTGTTTCAAAAACCTGTGTTTCATACCACAAAAGCAACAGTAACATGATAAAATACTCCAATAACCTCTTTCTAAGGTGTCATTACTATAATTAAGGGAGGACTAACTAGAACCATTATTTACAGAGCAAGAGGATGGCACTATCCTACAATGCCAGACTATAAGATTCCTGGGGGATCAAATATAGGCAAATTCTAAAAAGGTGATTAAATAAAAATCTTTAAA